GTGGGGTGTGGTTGGGTTGTTGGAGCACCTTGGCGAGGCTGGGTCCCAGGGGTGGAAGATCATCATCTTTCTCCTGGATAAAGGCCACGTAGGTGTGGCCCTCCGTGTCTGGCAGGAAAGAGTCTTCACAGGGGTTCCTGCTGTGGTCCAGAACCTCCGCCTCGCTGCATGGGGTTGGGAGAGTCAGGCCAAGATAGGGTATGAGGTGTGTGTCACACAGGGCCCTGTGCTTGGTCTAATGCTGTGTTGTTGCCATCTTGAAATTCTTAATAATTTCTGAACTAAGGGCCCCAATTTTCATTTTGCACAGGGCCTTGCAAGTTACGGGACAAGATCCCCAGTATTTGACTCTTCACTCTCTGCCACACACTCCAAGAGCCCTAGGCCATACCTCAGTAGCCTGTGAATTTCCACTTCATAGGCTTCTTTCTTCAGACTGAAGGGGAGGGAAAAATGGGTCAGGGAGGGGCAGGCCCTCAGTTCCCATGGGTAGCACTGAGCAGGGCAAGGGGTCACATGGGATTGGGAGCAGCAGGGCTGGGTAAACACACAGGGATTGGAAGGGACTTTCAGGAACTGGTTATCGAGTCTCCTAGACAATATCCTCCCCCTTGCCCTGCTGTCAGCCCTCACCTGTCCACGTTCCTGAGCTGGACACCTGGAACCGTGTTGAACTTGTGCTTCTTGAAGTAGGCCTCCTGGAGTGGGTGTGAGGGTAAAATCAGGGACTCACATTGTCTGGCCCACCACTGCTCTCTGACCCACCACATATCTACGAGACGAACATATGAAGTCCTGGACCTATAAAGGGTCCTCTCATTTCCTCCTGTCTTCCCCATTCTCTTCGCAGCATCCTTGGCAAGCTCTTACTAACTTTCATTTGGGCTCCACCATTGCCGGAGAGCTCATGCCCCCGTGGGCAGCTCACACTACTGTCCTGTGAACCAGTTCCTATCTCCAGTGGTTCTCCCTGGGCCTACTATTCTAGAGCCACAGAAGCCAGGAATAGGCTCTGCAGGGGGTAATGGACAAAGGGACAGGCTGGGCTGGGAGGGAGGATGCTGCTGTGACTCAGGTAGTGAGTGACCTCAGTAGTTGCCTGCCCCTCTCTGGGAGACGAATGGGGCTTTTATATTAGCCAGTCTGAGTATCCTTCTGGCTTCCAGGAACATGCAAGCTGGCTGCTATCCATTCCTGTGGACTGGGCTGACCCAAGGCCTCCCTTGCTGTGACTAGACAGTGGCCCTCTGGACACAGAGATGGGGTGTGGGGTCCTGGGGACCTTCTTGCTCTTCTCAGGCGGAGGGATGGGCCCCAGCACTTGTAAGGACAGGAGAGGGCAGAACTTACAGGGCTGGACCAGTGCTTCGAGGCAGAAATACCCTCCCCACACCCACAGTCTAGTGCTAAGAATAGTAAAAATAAAAATAATACCAGCTAACCCTTACATAATGGTTACAATTCAAAGAATTTTACATATATTAACTCATTTAAACCCCATAACTCTATGAGGGAGTAGTATTTCTATCCTCATTTTAGAGATACAGAAATTGAGGCAAAAAGGGGATAGTTACTTCCACGAGGTTACATGGCTTACAAGTGGCAGAGTTGGGAGTGCTCTTGACCATCATGCCATCCAGTGTCCCACCCCTTGCCTGCCACTCACGTGGAAGTAGCCGTTCATGTTGAGGCCAACGATGCCAAAGTGGTAGGACCGGGAAACGTCGGGGATGATGCACTCTCGGCCCCGGCGTTGCTCAGGCATCCGCATCCACATGTCCCAGTCCCAGAGCTGGCGGGAGTGGAAGATTATAAAGGTTAAGATGTCTTAAGCTGGGAGGGGACTCCGGCCCACTTACCCTATCCTTCTGAGTACCTTTTCCGGTGTGGGCCACTTGGGCTCAAGCTCCTCCTTGTACAGGGATTTCCTGAGCACCCAACCCAACCCAGGCATGGTCTCCACACGGTACAGTAGTGCTGGGTCCTCAGCTGTATGTTCATACCCCTGGGGGCAGGGAGCTGTATTAGCTTGTGGCCTCAAGAAACCCGCCTCCCAACCCCTGGCCACCCAGCCTACCTGGTCATTCCAGGCAGAGATGCAGTACAGGCTGTCATCCTCCTCCAGTAGGTGGATGGATTGGCTCAGGAAACTGAGAGAGCCAAGGTCCAAGAGTCGAGAAAGGGGCAAGGACAAACCCAGTCACGCAGTGAAGCTGGAAGAGCTGGGACTCAGGAGTCAACCCCCAAATCTCTGCTGTTTCCATTCATCCTTCTACCTTTTGCTCCAGCCCCAGCACCCACCATCCTGCCTCTGCTCAGGCTTTCTCCCATTTTGAGCTCACTTCCTCCAGAAAGCTCCCAAGACACCCTGCTGCTTTCTCTCCTAGAGACCCAGGGACCTCACCTGAAACCTAGAAACCTCCCTCACCTGAAAAAATCCACGGCAATGTCCAGGTCCTCTTCCAGGACCACAGCAAACTTGGCCTCCTATGAGAGGGGGACATCATGATCCTTGGGGGGCCTCTCCACCCTGTGGTCTCCTCCACCCATACCCCACTTCTTTCAGGTAGCCCTGCCCCTGTTTTCCAGATCAAGATGAGGCCCAGTGGAAGGAAGGGCTTGCTACATTACAGGACTAGACCTTATGCCCGTTTCCCCTCCCAAGGCCCAAGAGTTGTATCCTTGGTACTCACCGGAAACAGGTTGAATGTGGCAGTGAGGCTGGCCTTGTAGTGCTGGGAGGGAAGTGGGAATAGGGCATGTGAGCTCTGGGGTAGAGGGTGGGGCCAGGGGTCTGCCCCTTCCATCCTTGCCTAGGCCGTACCTGAGACACGCGGGCATTCTTGATGCTGATGGGAGTGTGCTGGATGCCCCTCAGACCGAACAGCGCCACCACATCCATCGGTTCCTGGGGGCATGCCCACCGGTCACCATGTGAGGCCACTTTCCCCTGACTACTTCTGCAGGACAAGCCCTTCCCCTTTCACAGCCCTTGCCAGTCCCCAGCAATCACTGCCACTGGAAATTAAGGTACTCAGTCACCCGCAGCCCTGTGCTGTGCTCTGCCCGAGGACCCCCAAGCCCCACTTACCTCATAGTAGCCGTCGATGAAAACTGTTATCATCTGGGGAGACACCCCCTGGGCTGAGAGCAGAGAGCGCAGCATCCTGGGGAGCCCAGGGATGGGTTAGGGCCTCTTTGTGCCCGCTACCTCAGGGCTCCCCTGTGTTTATAGAAGGGCCCAGATTCCCCGAGCTTATCCCTATAGGTGAATGGGCCTAGAATCTGTTGCCTTTCTGCCCACCTCAAGAGTTCCTCCTACAGGTAGATGAGTGAGGCACCCTCCCACTTGCTAAGCACCCTCCTGTTCAGTGCTGGGTACAGCCCACTCTCAGGCTCACCTGTACAGGTAATTGGGTCTGTTCCCTGCAATAACAGCCACGGGCACATTGAGGACTTTGTTGTCTGGGAGCTGTGAGAGAGACAGCTTTTAGCTCTTGCCTTATTCCTCTTTCCAATTGGGATCCCCACCAAGGGAAGAGTTCTTGGGAGGGGCTGGGGGCAAATCCAGAGTAGACCGGGACGGCGCAGAGGGTCTTCCCTCTTCTGACTTCTCTATAATCTCAGCCCAACGCCAATCCTGGGTCTTGTTCACATGGCCTGCCCCTTTCCCTCTACCCCCAGTATAAATACCCCTCAGTATAAATCCTCAGCTCCTGGTTCCTTCCCTAAGATAGGGAGAACCCAACCTGGAACTTTCCTGGGTTTCCCTTGCTAAGCCGGGAAGGAGTCCAAACCTTCCTGCCAAAGGCACCACTCACTGGGTCAGGGCTGAACTCGATGGGTGTGGGGTCCTTGCAGCTGCACACACTCCCATAGCCCTCAACTTTGCTGCAGAAGCGCCGGCGGCGACGGTTCAGCTCTGTGTCTGCCCAGTGGCACTCTGCCTCTGCGAGAGGACGGAGGCATGAGGTCAGTGTGGCTTGAAGAGCCCCCAGCACACAGTCAAGGGAATAAAGTCCCCATAAAGAGGCTCTAAATGTTGCTCCCCCACCCCCGCCCCTGGCTCAGGCTCAGCCCCAGAGACCAGGCCCCACAAACCCCACCTTCAGCTGAGCTCAGCGGCACATCTGTCTTCAACAGGACTGGGTCCCCCCAGGAAGAGAGGGCAGGTGACTTAGAATGTTTCTCCCCGAGGACA